GGTAATTGTGTTTTAGGAGATTTCAGTTGTCTGAAAAAAAATATCCATTTCCTTGATTAGAGGCACTCTAGAAAACTGCTTGGCAGTTTCTTATAAAACTAAACATGCAGTTACCGTACAACTCAGAAATTGCTCTCTTGGGCATTTATACCAGAGATACAAAAACTTATGTTTACACATAAACCTGTACACAACTGTTCATAGCAGTTTCGTGACAGCCCCAAACTGGAAACAACTCAAATGTCCTTAGTGGGTGCATGGTTAAACAAACTCTGGTACATACATGCTATGGAATACTTCTTGGAAATAAAAAGGGACGAACTATTGATAATATGCAACAACTTAGGTGAGTCTCTAATGTATTTGGTTAGGTGAAAAATGTCAATCCCCAAAGGTCATATATTGTATTAATCCATGTATAAAACATTTTTCAAATGACAAAGTTTTAGGAATGGTGACAGATTAGTGTTTGCTAGGAGTTAAGGATATTCCCCTAGCAAGGATGAAAGAGAGATGGATGTGGTTATAAGAACCTGTGTATGATGGAATGGCACGGCATCTGATGATGATGGTGGACACATGACCCTACACATATTAAAAAATTGTATAGAATTAAATAAACTGGTGCATACACACACACATAAATGAGTGTAAGTAAAATGACATTTGAATAAGATCAGTGGATCGTATCAATGTCGGTACTATCCTGGTTGTGGTATCGTATTGTTTTGCAAGATGTTACCTTTGGAGGAAACTGGGTAAAGAGATACATGAGATCCTGTGCACAGGATCTCAATAAAATTCTCAATTAAAAAATAAAAACTCATTTCTACAAATACCAGCTTCACCCAAAGCTGCTACATAGAGGCAGTTTCACTGGAGTAACTAGGCTCTTTGAGTGAGGATTGGCATGGAGCGGCAAGGGACCTCATGAGGCCTTGCCTCAGGTTCAACCCTGCGCTCTCGGCTCTGTCAGGCCAGATGAAGAGCTGAGTTACTGGCACTTCCGAGGATCCCTGGGACTGTCTAACTGGGTAGTTCATTTTACAGCCTGTCTGGGGGGCAAGGGGAGGGGGAAGAACACTGGCTTAGGCTCCAGTACCTCAGAACCAGTGAGGGCTTGACATTGGTGGTTGGGGGCAGGAATGGGGAAGGGTTCCCAAGAAGACTTTTGCTGTGGGTAGGTCCACCCGATCATGTGCCCCGCTGGCATGTGTATTTTGGTGTGCCTTGTGCTTATCATTGGCTCTGACAGTAGGTAGAGCATGGTCTAGCACAGCACTTCTTAGAGGGGGCTTGCAGGGAATCCCTGAGGGCCCGAGGGCCCCAGGGCCCTGCTAGGGAGTCCATCAGGTCAAAACTGTTTTCACAGTAATACTTAGACATTTGCTAATTACTTTCATTCTCTTACAAGTGATACAATAGTTTTCCAGAGGTTATATGATGTGAAGGAGCAACAGATTAAACACAGAAGTGGATATGAAACTCCAGCTGTTTTCTATTAAGCCAGACATTAAAAACACTTAGAAAAATGTAAACAAGTGCCACACTTCTCACCTTTTTGTTTTGGAAAATATAATTATTTTTCCTTAAAATATGCTATGTTTGTTATAATAATAAATGTTTGTTAACATTTAATGAAGTTATTGTTTTTTGTTTTTTGTTTTTTTTTATCCTCACCCGAGGATATTTTTCCATTTTTTGTACAGATAGAGTGGGAGGGAGAGAGAGGAAGGGAGAGAGAGAGAGAAACATCGACGTGAAGGGACACATCGAGTGGCTGCCACCCGCACGACCAACCAGGGCCAGGGACAAACTGCAACCGAAGTACGTGCCCTTAGCGGGAACCGAACCTGGGTCTCTCCGGACCGCAGGCCGACGCTCTAACCGCTGAGCCAAACTGGCCAGGGCAGTTATTGTTTTTTTTTTAATGATTTAATAAATAAGGATGTTCTCAGTTTAATTTTTTTGAAACATGTTTTCATTGATTTTTTTTTTAAAGAGAGGAAGGGAGAGAGAGAGAGAAACATCGATGTGAGAGAGAAACATCGATTGGCTGCCTCCTGCACGCCACCTACTGGGGATCAAGCCCACAACCCAAGCCTATGCCCTGACTGGGAATGAAACTGGGACCTCTCAGTCCATGGGACAACACTCAGTCCACCGAGCCACACAGGCCTGGCTCAGTTTAATTTTTTTTTTTTTTTTTTTATCCTCATCCGAGGACACCTTTCCATTTTTTGTTCAGATAGAGCAGGAAGGAGAGAGAGGAAGAGAGAGAGAGAGAGAAACATCGATGTGAAAGGGACACATCAAGTGGCTGCCACCCGCACGACCAACCAGGGCCGGGGACAAACTGCAACCAAGGTACATGCCCTTAGCGGGAACCGAACCCGGGTCTCTCTGTACCACAGGCCGACGCTCTAACCGCTGAGCCAAACCGGCCAGGGCCAGTTTAATTTTTAATACTTGAATATTGATATAAACTATAAACCAAAGCTCTTTGGGGTCCTCAATAATCTTTGAGAAGGTAAAGGGGTCCTAACACCAAAAAGTGTGTGAAACTTTGGCTTAGCAGAACGCACTTGGCCAAAAGTTGGTGGGCTTGTGTCCTAGTCAAGACTTTGCTATGTGACCATGGCCAAGTCATTTAGCCTCTTTCATTGATTTCTTCTCCTGTAAATGTTCATAATCATCCTGTTTTCTGTACCTTAAAGAAAAGTGAGATAATTCTATATAAAAGGCTTTGAAAATATAATGTCCTATGCAAATGTAAGGGAATTTAATAGTTCGACAACTAAGCTTTTGTTGGAAGAAAATGTGAAGAATGAAGTTTCTGGTATGTCAGCTGATATTCTGTTCACTTTTTATTTATTTTTATTTTTTTTATTATTATTATTTTTTATCCTCACCAGAGGACATTTTTCCATTTTTTGTTCAGGTAGAGTGGGAGGGAGAGAGGAACAGAGAGTGAGAGAGAAACATCGATGTGAAAGGAACACATCGAGTGGCTGCCACCCACACAACCGACCAGGGCCGGGGACAAACTGCAACCGAGGTACGCGCCCTTAGCGGGAACCGAACCCGTGTCTCTCAGGACCGCAGGCCGACGCTCTAACCGCTGAGCCAAACCTCTGTTCACTTTTTAAATTTTCTCATTTTTACATCTCCTTCTAACAGTTTTCTCATACATTTTATTTCTTTTTCTCAGTCTCTCAGACAACCATTTTAATTATTAAAAGAAATTAAGTGGATACATCTTCCAAAGTTTTCAGTCAAGAGGGAATTTATATTCCTGATATTTTGCAGTGTCATAAGGTCAGGAGCGCTGTCTTGGAGAAACCACTTACTAGCTTTGTGACTTTAGGGAAGTTACGTAACCTCTCTGTGTCTTGGATTCCTCATTTGTTTTTGTTTTTGTTTTGTTTTGTTTGCAATTATAATTTATAATTGTGTAAAAATGAAATATTTAGGAATAAATTTAGCCAAAGACATATAAGACTTCTATACTTATAACTACAAACATTGTTGAAAGAAATTGAGGAAGCTTAAATGAACTTTTCCGCAAATGGTCACAGCTCCAATGTAATCCAATCACAGACACAGGAGACTTGTTTTTAATTGACAGACTCGTTCCGAAATTTATGTTAGAAATTCAAAGAACCTCAGATACCTAAAGCATTTTGGAAAATAACAAATTTGGAGTACTAATATTACCTGACTTCAAGATTTAATATAAAACTCAATTAATCAAGAAAGTGTGGTCCTGAATTAAGGATCAACAAATAGATCTATGGAACAGAATGGAGCCCAGAAATAGACTGCACATATATGGTCATTTGAAGAAAAGAAAAAAAGGCAAGCCCTGGCCGGTTTGGCCTGCGGTCCAGAGAGACCCAGGTTCGGTTCCCGCTAAGGGCACGTAGCTCGGCTGCAGTCTGTCCCCGGCCCTGGCTGGGTCATGTGGGTGGCAACTACTCAATATGTCCCCTTCATGTCGATGTTTCTCTCTCTCTCTCTCTCTCTCTCTCTCTCTCTCTCTCTCTCTCTCTTCCTCTCTCTCCTTCCCACTCTATCTGAACAAAAAATGGAAAAATGTCCTCGGGTGAGGATTAAAGAAAAAAAGGCAACAAAACAACTAAATAGGGAGAAAGGCCTTTCAACAAATAATGCTGTGATAACTGGATGTCCATATGGAAGAAATGTAAATCTGGTTCTTCTTTACTGTACACAAAAGTTCATTTTAAATTAATTGTGAACATAAACATAAAAAGCTAAAGTCATAAAGTGTTTAGAGGAAAACCTTAATGAATATCTTTGTGACTTGGGGGCAGGCAAAGTTTTGTGAAACTGGTCACAAAAAGTAATAAACATAAATTTAACTTCATCAAAATTTAAAACTTCTGTTCATTACTATCTATCTACATATCTATCATTCAGATAATGAATATGCACACCACAGATTGGAAGCAAATATTTGGATTCCTCATTTGTAAAATGAGGCTAATAATACCTTACTTTCCATGGTGATAATGAATAATAATGTACAGTATATAATTATGAGTATATAATGAATGTTCCATAAATGATAGTTGTGATTGTCATTAGCATATAACAAAAGATGCAAGATTAAATTTAGATCTCTTACCCAGTTTTTTTTTTTTTTTTTTATCCTCACCCGAGGACATTTTTCCATTTTTTTGTACAGATAGAGTGGGAGGGAGAGAGAGAGGGAAACATCGATGTGGAAGGGACACATCGAGTGGCTGCCACCCGCACGACCAACCAGGGCCGGGGACAAACTGCAACCGAGGTACATGCCCTTAGCGGGAACCGAACCAGGGTCTCTCCGGACCGCAGGCGGACGCTCTAACCGCTGAGCCAAACCGTCAAGGGCTTACCCAGTTTTTAGTAAAGTTATTATTAAGCTACTTTATTCATAAATTTATTAGCAGTAATTTCCATTTTATTTGATTTCATTCTTTTTTTCTGCTTTGAAGGGCTACTGAGTGGCCAAACTTCCCCAACAAATACCAAGTTGGAGAAGTTGGATTCTCAGCAGGTGTTGCAGCTCTGCCTCCGATATCAGGATCACCTCCATCAGTGTGCAGAGGCCGTCGCTTTTGATCAGAATGCTTTGGTTAAACGAATCAAAGAGGTAAGTATTGTGGGAAACGAACATTGCTGACTTATTATTGTGATTCCTGAGTCCTTTTCTACTGGGCAGCAGGGCCAGTGATCCCAGCTTTATGGAAAGCAGTCATTTTTCTATCGTAAGTTTTGACATTTGTCCTCATTGCTTTGGGGGATTGTCTTTCCTAGCAGTAAAATGTGATGGTGAAAAAGAGTGGTCCATGGAGCTCACCAATCTGGAGTTTGAATGCCAGTTCACCACTTATTTGCTTGGGCAAGTTACTTAACTTCTCTTGGTCTCTGTTTCCTCATCTGAAAAATGGGGCTAATAAGTAGTAACCTATACCAAGGGTTGAGTGAAGATTAAATTGCTCAGTTAAGTGTTAACTATTTTTTTAAATGTAAACTTTATTTTTAAATTATAGTTTACATTTAGTATTATTTTGTATCAGTTTTAGGTGTACAGTATAGTGGTTAGACAATCATATACTTTATATATAGAGTTACCCCCGATATTTCCAGTACTAACCTGGCACCATACATAGTTATTGCAACTACCAATCTGTACTTCTTAATCCCTTCACTCACTTCACCCACTCCCCCCCTCTCTGGCAGCCATCAGTCTGTTCTCTGTATCTATGAATCTGTTTCTGTTTTGTTGGTTCATTTATTTTGTTCTTTAAAGTGAAATCATATGGTATTTATCTTTCTCTGACTGATTTATTTCAAGTAAGCGTTAGCTCTTATTAGTATGCATAAATTCTGCCATACTAATTTGCTCTAGCTAACATTGTATCATCAAACTAACTTTCACAGGTTCCTGTATGTAACTTGCATTTTGTTTTCAGATAGGTTATCAGTTCTTCGAGAGCAGGAGCTTGATATCTCCCTAAAAATTATATTTTTCACTTGTTAGCACTTGAAAAGCTCAGAGATTCTTACTGGTTGGATGGAAACAATTATGCCTATTTAACCCACAAGATTTTGTAAGGAAACAAACAAGATAATTTATGTGAAAGCACTTAGTAAACCAGCATGGTAGGATGTTGAGTAATTATTAATAGTAAGTAGGTACTTCTTTTAAGCTCTGAAATATATCATTGACTGGGCCGCTGCATGGAACAGCTCTGGGAGCACCAAGGTGTAAGGAAATATATTGTCTAAAGTTTTTACTCAAGAAGCGATTGATATTCCTGATACCTTGAAGTACTATCTTATAGAGAAAAGAAAAGGTCAGGAGCTCCCTCTTGGAGAAACTACTTATGTGAATGGCACCCTCTGGAGTTGTTTACAACAAAATAGTTCTGGTCATTGACTCAGGCCAGAAAAGAAGATGGACATGAGGCCGCACACAAGTAAAAGGTTGAGAATCTTTGCAAATTAATTATTTATTAGTAATGGACATAGTATATCCTTGAAATTACAAAGTAGTCGTCATACTGACAGGTTTAAATGTGCCACCACCTCCAGCAGAGTGGCACATACCTTTCATAAAATGTTGTAGGTATATATGCTTTTCCTCTCATGGAAGTCTTTTATTTGGAAGACTATTAAATATGACCTTTCATATTGGCTGGTATTGGTGTGGCCTTTCAAATGGTATAATCTATTTTACTACATTGTAATCTACAAGCTTCAAGTCCCAAACATGACGGTTCATTAGAATCACTTGGGATTTTGTTTGTTTTAATACTCAGTTCTCCTGTCCCCACAATAGTCTAGGTTGTGGTTTGTGAATCATTATTTTAATAAGTTTACCAAATAATTCTGAAGCCATTCTCCATTACCTGGGATTTGGAAACCAATGATCTCTACAGGATTATTTTCCAAAATAAATTCTGTAAAACTAGTCTATGTAAGGAAGATCAGACTTTTTGCATATTCCATCACTACCTTGGAAGGTCACAATGCATATATATTATCTTATTAAAAGTTAATACAAATCTGACAGTAAAGAAAACCAGCACTTTTCAAAGTTTTTGACCACAGAACCCTTAGGTAATATCTGTTAACATCTACAGAAGTAGCATTTTTAAAGAAACTTCTTTGAGAAATGTTGTCGTAGACATAAGAAAGACTTTACCGTTTTTGACTGTTGTGCTAGAAATGAGCCATGACATTAACTTTCAGAGAGATAATTTTAGAAAAATACAACTTTTAATGCTTCTTGTCTTCTTTTTGAAGGGTCCTCTAATCTGTGTCTGCCCTTTTGTAGTTTAGGAAAGCGTAGCACAGAGAGGTTGACTAGCTCATTTTTAAAGAGCTGGGTTAAGTATTTGTAGCTGGCAGTACAAGACAGAGCTCCTCATTATACATTTTCAAGACTCCAAACAGTGTTTCTTGGCCCTGAATCACCTGGGAATTTTTTACTCCAGTATATATGATGGAAAGTTTTACACACACACTAAAGTAGACAAATTCTGTGAACCTTTATGTACTCAGTGCCCACCTACTACAGGCATCAACAAGTCAACACTCTGTTTCATCCAGACCCCCACCCACTCTCTGACACCTCCTCAACTGGACTATTTTGCAGTAAATCTCAAGCATATCATTACATTTATAAATATTTAAGTATGTGTCTTTAAAGTAAGGGACTGTTTTAAAAAAGCATTTTAATCTGAATCAATTTTAGACTTAGAGAAAAGTCACAAAAATAATTCTGAGAGTTTCTGTATACCCCTCACACAGCTTCCTCTAAAGTGAGCATCTTACAGAATCATAAGAACAATGATCAAAACCAGGAAGTTAACACTGCTACAATACTGTTAACTAAACAAAGACCTTATTTGAATTTCACCAGTTTTTCCACCAATGAAGAACTCCTTTTAAAAAACACTGCCACAGTGCTGTTATCATACCTAAAATATTTAACAATACCTTAATTCATTCAGTACAGCTGAGCTACTTTTAAGAAAATACTGATGTATAAGTCTCACTCTAAACCAGTTAGATTGAAATCTTTGAAGGGTGGTAGGTTGGGAAGAGAGGAAGCTGAGTACTGGTATTTATGAAAGTGCTCTGGAGGCCCTGGCCTGGTAGCTCAATTGGTTGGAGCATCATCCTGATACACCACGGCTGTGGGTTCAATTCCCAGTCAGGGCACATACAAGAAGCAACCAATGAATGCATCAATAAGTGGAACAACAAAAATCGATGTTTCTCTCTCTCTCCCTCCCTCTCTCCTCTCTAAAAATAAAAAAAATCAATAAATATTTTTTTAAAAAAGAAAAGAATGTGGTCTAGAATTTGAGAACCAGTGTTCTGGAGCATTTATTACAGGGTTGGGGACACTTTTTCTACCAAGGGCTATTTGGATATTTATAACCTTTGTGGGCCATAGAAAATTATCAACTTAAAAATTACCCTGCTATATTTGGTCAGGCTAATTTGGTGAGGTTAGCTGGTATTGATTTTTCAGCCTTATATGGCCTCAGGCCGGATGTTCCCCACCCCTGATTTAAAACAATCAAGCTGAGTTCATGCCTTTTGAGGAACTTTGGGGTTCACTTTGAGTCACCAGTAGTTACCCAGAATTGCTGGAAAACCCAGAACAGTGCTCCCAGTACTGCACGGTACCGCCGTAGTTCTCCCAGGACAGAGGAGGTGAGCACTGTCTCAAGGTTTTCTTTGGCGACTCGTCTCTGCTGGCAAACTCCTGAAACATGCATCCGTCTGTGCTCGATTCAAACCTAAGGTTGAAATTAGTCGTTTCCAAATGAGTAAAGCTGAGGATGTAGTTTTGATCAAACACCAACTCGCTGATACTATTCCAGATGTTTCCTGGAAATTTGGTTGCCAGAGTGAGGAAGTAACATAATGCTATGTGTGCTGGAAAGTGAGGGAACTTAATAAGCATGGAGAATACGTATTAGTGGAAGCGTGGAGCCCGGATCACCCAGAGGCCTGTCAAGTTACAGTGCTGTGATCACTGAAGTTTGGGACAAAGGGAAACATGGCTGTACCCGTGTCTGAGTCAGATAAAAGAAAATCAAGGAGTTAGCTAAGCTTTCCTCTTGATATATTGGATGATGCTCTTGAAAAAGAAGTTTATGTTTTATAAAGGTGTGCTGTCTAGGTGTGGGGACAGAGGTACACAGAACAGGAATATGAAAGATAAGGCACTATCAATGGAGAGTGCTTAGTTGTGGTTTGTAATTGAAGTGCTCTAAGTGTTAAAGATCCAGGCTACCCTGGAGCAGGTGAGGTTTAAGCAAGGTCTTAAAGGAGAACCAGGATTTGGGAAATAAATGGAGAGAAATAGGAGTGCATTGCTGTCTGGGGGAACTGTTTAATAGTCTCAGAAGAAAATTAACTTTGGGGTTAATTTTGGTCCAACTAAACTTGGTCCAAGAAATCTCCTCTACACTGAGAACCACAGCCACAGAATGTTGGAGTTGGAAGGACCTTGGAGACCTTCTGGTCCAGTGCCGTCATTATTTAGATGCAGAAATGGAAGCCATTAGAGAAAGTAAGCAATTGTTCCTGGGTCACAGACTGAGACAGTGGCCAGAGTTATGGAATTAAAAATGGGTGAAGATTGAAGGAGGGTGTTTCTTTTGGAGGTGGTATACTTGAACATGTTTACGGATTAAGAGGGAAGAGACAGAAGTGATCAAAAATGAAAGATAAAAAGGGGATTCACAGAGCAAGATCCCTCAGACGACAAGATAGGACAGGATTTAGAGCCACAGGGTTATGCGTTCTGAGAGAAAAGGAAGGGCACAGGTGAGTTTATGTAAAGAGGATAGCTGGTGCAGATCAGTCCCACCGGAGAGCCTGTATAGGTCTCTCTGAGGAAGAGAGGAGGTCATTTGTTGGGAGTGACCATTGGGGGGAGTACAGTTGCGACCTCTGGGAGTCACTGAGGGCTCAGCTGAGCAGGGAAAGCCTTTACTTTGAATTTGTGGGTGATTTAGCATAGTGGTTCTGAGTGCAAACACATTGCCCAGGTTCAAGTCCTGGCTCTGCCTCTAACCAGCTCTGTGGCCTTAGCCAAATTACTTAACCCTTCTGAGCCTCAGT